GGAAGTGTAGCTCACCCCAGTGTAGATGGGGATGATCTCATAGAGTAGCTGAAAGGGAGATACTTGGTGAGAAAGTACCGGATCTTGCCCTGATTTGTTCTGAAAGTTCCCACCGGGTTTAGAGGTCTAGGGAGGATACATAGTGCCCCAGTGAAATAAAAGGGGGGAAGTTTTCCTGTCTTTGGGGTTGCTTGATTTTTTTTTTTTAAAGCTGGGGGGGCATATATATGTATGTATGTTATGTATGTTTGTGTGTGCACATAAATATATATAAATACGAAGCAAGCACTGCAAACACACAGTGTTACTTTGGGTTTATGATTTTTGATTTTTTTTTTTTTTTTTTTAAAAAAAAAAACATCAGTAACTGTGTGAAACAGAATTTTTCCCTATTGGACAGGATTGAAAGGCGCTTTCTAGAGAAGAGCTTCAGATTTTCAGTTGGATGTTTTGTGTAAAAGAAAAAGATCAGTGAACCAGCAGTTCAGCCCTGAGGTGTAAAGAGGGCAAATTGCTGGGTGTGGGGTAAAAAGAGAGGGGGGGCAGTGGTAGGTCGGTTGCATAGGTGGGCCCATATATTCGTGAAGACAGTCATTGAGGCATTCAGTCAGCATTGTTTGGTCAGCAGTTAGTGAACAGCAGTACAGCAGAGTGACAGTCTCCATATCAGGAAGAGCACTTGACAATGCATCGTGAACATCTTTCACTTAGCATGTGTGTATAGGTGTCACTTCCACCTTACTCTAGTGTTGATTATGTTAGCCAGAAATGTTGACTCGTACATTTATTGCTGGGTGTGGTGGCACAGGCCTATATATAATTCCAGTATTCTGGAGGCAAACAAGAAAATCTGAAATGAGATCTTGTTTCAAGCATTTGTAGTAGCTTAGCAATGCAGTAGAGAGCACTTGCCTATCATATACATGGCCTTGGCTTTAGTCTTCAGCAATGATAAAATGGAAAAGGAGGTAGAGAATTACCTCTTCAATTAGAAACACTACCTGCTCTAGCAGAAGTTCAAAGTTGGGCTCCTAGCTAGCACTTATGTAGGGTAGCTTCCAACCAACTGCAGCTCTAGCTCCAGGGGATCTGATATGTCTCTCTTGGCCTCCGTGTACATAGGAGCATAGACAATACACCCCAATTCTTTCTCTTTCCTCCCACTACCTTTTTTTTTTTTTTGCGTGGCCAGCGTGTAGGGAGACAGGGTCTCACTGTGTGGCCTTGGCTGTCTTGGCACTCACTGTGAGAAACAGGTTGACCTTGAACTCACAGAGATCCACTTGTCTGTCTCTGAGTGATAGGGTTTAAGGTAAGTACCATTGTATTTGGCCCTTTCTGTTTTATTATTATGTTTATATAATGTGTGTGCCTGGGCTCAGTGTGCTATAGAAAGTGTGAGATTCACCATATTTCCAAAGAAGCCAGAAGAGAGGGAATGGAATCCTTTGGAATTAGAGTTAAAGACAGTTATGGGTCAATGTTGGGAATTGAACCCAGGCTCTCTGCAAGAGCAGCTAGTGCTCTTAACCTCTTGAGTTCTCTCTCTTTCCCCTAGATAGAAATTAGTAAGTATAGTTACTGTGGATATCCCATCAGTTTCAGTGCACAGCGTGAATAACGTAGTTGTAGATTGCAAGCACCTCTGTACCACATTGGACAAAAGTCTTATCTTCAGCTCCCACAGGATCATTACATAAATCATCTCAGACATCAAAGGAACATTTGAAAATTTTCCATTTAGAGTAATAATACTTGCAGTTGACCTTGTACTCGTTTCACAGTGTTGAAAGGCACAGGGAATCAAATTAATTACTGACATGTGGAAATAGTACTGTTAGGACAGTGTGGTGGTGGCATACCACTTGGCACTTGGGCCGAGCTAAGGGACTGCTACAAGTTGAGTGCTAGTAAAACCTACTTAAAAACAGACAGGGTCATACATTCAGAGACAGGCCATGCCAGGGAAAGTGGCCAGCACAGAGTTCACTCAGTATTTTTGTGAGTTTGTTGGGGCTTTTTGTTTGGGTATTATCTTAGTCTTTTGCTGGATTTTTTTGACTTGATTTTATGTTTTTGTGTGGAGGGTTGTTTGTTTTTTGAAACAAAATAGGGAGTTGAGGAGAATCTAGGAGGAGAAAACATGATCAAAATATATTGTGTGAAAAAAAAATTATTCAGAAACAAAACTAGGACCACCAAGATGGATCAGCGGGTAAAGGTGTCTGCTGCCAATCCTGATGACTTGAATTCAGTGCCTGGGATCCACATGATAGGAGACAGCTGACTTCTGAAAGATAACCTCTGACCTTCATTCACACTGGAATGTCCACACATATACACACAAAATAAGTAAAAATTTAAACCCTAAAACAAAAATGGTATAGTTCCTTCTTCATTCATACATACATTCATTCATTTTGTAATTTAGTGGTTTGTTGAGACAAACCTGGTTTGCCTGAAATTCATGGGAGCTACTTCTGCCTACAGAGTACTGGTACTAAAGGCACGTACCATCGCTTCTGGTCTTAACCTTTTTTTGTTTTAATGTCTTAATCATTTGGATGTACTCTCTTTGATATACCATGAACAAAGTTACATTAAAGTAGAAGGTTCATTTTATTGAGTTGGAATATTGCTGTTAGTTGCATAAGCATTTCCAGCAGGAATTCTACCTTCACATGTGTGTCCCTGCAGTCAAATGCAAGGATGATCTTTATCCCTGGAGATTTCAGACCTACTAGCTCTTTCTGTGCTGCTGTGTTTTTTAGGCATGGGGTTGTTTCATGCACTAGAGCACTGGTTCTCAAATCTGTGGGTCAAAAGGCCTTTCCACAGGGTTTGCCTATCAGATATTTACATTTTTATTCAAAACAGCAAAATTACAGGAGTGAAGTAGCAACCAAAATAATTTTATGATTGGGGGTTCACCACAACAGGAAGAACTGCATTAAAGGGTAAAAGCATTAGGAAGGTTAAAAACCATTGTCCTGATATTTTTAAAAAAGTTATATTCTTTTTCAGTAAAAGCTCTGGAGAACAGAGAATTGAACTAAATTGAAGAGTTAACAAGAGCAGCCTTTCTTGGATAGAAAGGCTAATTTGGTATTTTGTTTTCCAAACCACTTTGGTTGCCTTTCCAGAACCTCATGGGAAGTTTTACCCTTTGAGGCTGGAGGCAGTCCCAGGCACACTGCTAAGCAAGCTGTCTGATGAGCACACCCAGTTCCTTCCTCTTTAAAGGTCTAGTGCTCATCCAGATGTGCATATCTTTGGCAGTATTTGAAGACTACAGCTCTGAGTACTCTTTTCAGGAAGTACATGGAACTTTTGTTTTTGTCTGTTACTGGCTGTATTATAGCATTTTGCTTTATGTATACCAAGGGCTCAGCCAGGAATCCTTTGGGGCTATTAAAGGAACTCTACTCAGGAGAGGAAACTGTTGACTGAAAGATCTCTAGGTTATGCAAGAGATTTATTCATTTATTTGATAATTTAAAAAGTACCAAAAGTTTAAGTTGAAATTTCTCCACTATGGCCTGGAAAACCCAGTGTTGCTCATTTGTTATACCTTATGCCACTAGCAGTTCTGTGTATATGGTTGATATCTTGTGATTTCTCACATAACATACAGCTGTCTTCAGAATTTTTCATTGCAGTGTGGGTATAAACTGACCACAACTTTCATTGCTTACAAAAAGTTTGAACAAAGTCATGAAAATAAGCTCTATAAAGTCTATAAAAATAAGAATTTGTGGCATCAGAGCAGTATATGGTGCAGCTTTCAGAGGGCAACAAAAGTCGTCCTTGTCCATGTTTCATTCCCTGTGTGTCTGTGTGTATTTTGTGTCTGGAAGCACAGGTGAACTATCTTAAATAAATAAGCTAGTCCTATTAGGTGACACAGAATCACAGAACATTGGGTGATATTATACGCATCTGATATTGCCCTTTTTAGCATGGGATGGATTTTTGTTGATTTCTGCATTATGTCTGATCATACATGCCTCTGGCTTTTTACATTTTTATTTGGAGGTTAGAAGACAATTTAAGGCAATCTGTTTTCTGCTTTCATTGTGGGGGTCTCAGGGATCAAACTCAGGTCTTTAGATTTAGCCTCAAGTGCCTACCCGCTGAACCATCTCACCCACATCTAGTTTTTTACTTAATGTTTAAGATTTATGTTGTTATTGTGGATGGGGGGGGCACAACTTTGTGGAGTTGATTCTTTCATCTTTTCATGGGTTTTGAGAACTGACCTCAGCTGTCTATGCTTGCATGGCAAGCTTTAACTAACAACCTGTCTCCTCGGCCTTGGTGGGTTTTTTTTTTGTTTGTTTGTTTGTTTGTGTTTGTTTTTGTTTTTCCCCTACGAAAGCCGGCGAATGTTTAGCTCAAGTGATTTATGAAGCTTATTTCTATATATCTTTGTTTAGTCAGGTCTGTTTTCTTATTTTTGTCTCTTTGAAGTTAAAGTAGCATTTCTCCTGCTTTGTATTTGTGTTGTGAATTAATTAATCTTTTTAGAACTTTCTTTTGGCTGTTGTTAATATTGTTGGGATGATGGACTTAGACCTTGTGGTTATGTAGTCATTGTATTGTTACTAAGTGTCCAGAGTAAAAGCTTGGAAGACTGTGTGCACACACAAATAAGTACTTTTTAGATTTATTTGGGTTTTCCTAAATATCACTTTCCTGTATATTTCAAATCTTATCATAGTCCATCCTAGGGCCTCTAGCCAGGCCCTGTGCTGCTAAGTGAACACTGCCATGTAAGCCCCAGACCCATCTAGCTGGCTTTAAACATAATCCAGTTGTGTTATTCATTGCCAGTAGTCTGCTCTTAATTTGTTCACCCTGCTTAGAAATGGAAAAGTATTCTATTGTACTGTATGCAAGGTATTTGTTTTTAAAAATTGTGTTTGATTTGGAAATATCTTTAGGAACTGCAAAAGTTGCTCACTTTAGTTGCCTTTTTTTTTTTTTAACCTCTTAATTAGTTGGCGACAAAGTTCCTGCTGATATAAGATTGACTTCCATCAAGTCTACAACTCTAAGAGTTGACCAGTCAATTCTCACAGGTAAGTATTGCATATTGCAAAACCACTCAAGTTTTAAAGCCTCTTATCTCCCAGCTATATGTAGTTAATGCCTACTGTCAGTTTATAACATCCTACCCCAACTTTCTCTGAGATACTTAATTTCTTAGGGTCATCATGGTCCAGGATGGAATGATGTGTGGAGGCAAGGTTGTCAGGTTAAAAACAGTGCTGGCAGGCTGGAGAGGTGGTTCAGTGGTTAGGATCCTGACTTACTCTTCCAAAGGACCTGGGTTCAATTTCCAGCACTCACATGACATCTCAGAACTGTCTGTAACTCTAGCACCCTCATACAGACATACATACTGACGAAACGCCAGTGCACATAAAATGGGGGAAAACACACACACACAAAACATGCTGGCTAGCACCATGGCTCACTTGAGTAAAGATACTAGTCTGGACTGGAGAGATGGCTCAGCTTTTATGAGTGCTCGCTATTGTTGCAGAGGACTCTGTTGTTTTATAAAAAAAAAAAAATCTCAAATCATTCGACTTTACCAATAAAGACTCGGGTGAAAATATTGGTAGCTCAGAGAGTCAGAGGAAGCACCAAGCTGATCTTCCTGCTCACCAACTTCCCAGAAGGAAAAAGGCCCTTGCTACTCAGCTCACATTCCAGAAGGAAAAAGTCTTCTTCAAGCTGTCTTAAATACCCTCAACTCCATGTCTCTCCTTTCTGTTTAATCCCTGTCCGGTGGTCTTGACCGAGGGCTAACTTTATTTAGCTCTTGGATTAATGGTTTGGGCTATGATGAGCACACACTTGTAAAACAGTACTTGTTTCAGTAAACACAAATCTCTAGGATCAAAGACTGAGCCTTACCACAGTTGGAAACAGGTTTTTACAGTTCACAATCTCTGGGTTCACAGTGGGATCAAATATCCTGCAACGGGACCCCGGTTCAATTCCCGGCACCCACAACTGTCCACAACCTCCATTCTAGGGGAGCTAGTACCATCTTCTGGATTCCCACGGAATCTAGAAAGGGATGCAGTACATATATGTTCTACTAAAGATACATACACATAATAAGCCAAGGGGGGGGGGGGTAGAAAAAGAATGAGAGAAAAAGAACAAACTTGTCCACAGCCAAAGGTTGCATTTGATTCCCAGGACTGGTGTACTATATTCCCTTTCCACCCCTGCCCACACATTAAACAACTTAGGTCCGAACCTGAATTAAATAACAAGTAAATATTAAGTTTTAAAGGCTGTCAAGATATGTCCGTTTTAAAAGTAATTGATCATAATAAATATGGTAGGTCCAAGTCACCTGGGCTTTAATACTTGGTTTTGTAGAAACTGCCTAACTTTAGCAGCATCAGCTTCAAGCCTTTAAGCCATAAAATGTTAGGAAAATTATTGGATTATATATCTGAGATTCTTAGGGTGTGTCTAGAAATAGAGACAGAACTGAAAAAGCTGTCAGAATCTTGTTTTCACTTGGCTTTTTGAGGTAGGGTATCGTGTAGCCCAGGCTGTCCTCAAACTCGGTACATAGCTGAGAATAATCTTGAACTGCTCTTTCTGCTTGTACTTCCCAAACTGCTGGTCTCACAAGCTGGTCTCACAACTTTATAGTGCTAGACATTGAATCAGATTTTGCATGCTAAGCACTCTGTATCTGAACTACATTTCCAGCACAACTGAATGTCCTTACACTGTAGTTGTAGGTCAAATAAGAAACCATATCTTTTATCAACCAATTATTTGACTATTCCAGGAAATAAGAGAAGGTAATTGACTGGGTTATTATTTCAGAATTAGTCTTTATTTTAAAATTACAGTTCACAGTCCTGGCATCTTTTTATTCCTAGTTTGCTTGCTTTGAACAAATTGAGACCTTTGCTTCTTTTCTGATATTGGCAATAAATGTGTACTTTTTTTGTTTGTTTTGAGACTAGGTCTCACTCTGTTGATTTCTCAAACTGGATATGTAGCATATGGTAACCTTGAACTTGGATATAACCCTTCCTCAATTCCCTGTGTGTTGGGATTATAGGTGTGTGCCACCACAACCACCCACATTGGCAGTGATAAAAAGTGGGAATGGGTTGATGTGGGTGGGAATTATCAAGATTAGATATGTGTCAGATAGAGCTAACCATTTTGTTTCATAACCTGCTTAGGTGAATCTGTTTCAGTCATCAAACACACTGACCCTGTCCCTGACCCACGAGCTGTCAATCAAGATAAAAAGAACATGCTATTTTCTGTGAGTACTTTTATCAGATGTTGGGGATGGGGTTGCTAGGGGTTGAACCTATGGCCTCACCTAAGAATGTACTTTTATTTGGAGATAGACTCTGTCTTAGTTAGGGTTTCTATTACTATGAAGAGACACCCATCACCACGGCAACTCTTATAAAGGAAAACATTTATTTGAGGCTGGCTTACAGTTCAGAGGTTTAGTCCATTATCATAGCATGCAGGCAGACATGGTGCTGGAGAGTTAGGTAGCTGAGAGCTCTATATCTGCAACCTCAGAAAGCAGGAAAAGACAGTGAGTCACTAGGCCTGGCTTGAGCTTCTGAAACACCAAGGCCACACCTACTCCAACAGTGCCATTCCCTGTCTGGGAGCCATTTTTATTCAGACTACCACCCTCCCAAAGTTCTGAAAATATGACTTTTAACTGGCCACCTTCAGTGATTACACTTAAAATAATTAGTTATTCCAAAAGATAATTATTCTTTACTGTGTGTCTCAGCTGTCAAAAAACGAACAGCTGGGAACAAAACAGCTGGTACCCTGGCAACAAAGCAAACTTCAGAAAAGTCTTCAAGCCTAGAAAGGGTGCTTTTCAAACTATATGGGCATTGCTGCTGTTTGTGGCCTGTGATTTTAAAAAAAAGTATGTTTGGAAAGAGCAAACATGACATACCGTTTGGTGAGCCTAGGTGACAAATAGGTGGATGTTTATTTTTCTAGTTGGTATGAAATTTTTTCAAGTAGTACAGAAATACATACATTTTGTTTATTTAGAATCTAGATTAGTATTTGAAGGGATAGTTAATAGGAGAGCTTAAGTACTGACAGTATGTACAATGCTGTAGTGACAATAATGTAACTATCATTCTGGAACTGGAAATTAAAGTGGAGTGGGCTGCAAACTCACATTTGATTTCACCGACCTGAATACTGTTGCTGGAATACAAGTTCTGAAACGGCCAGCAGGGCTCATTTTACATGGCAAAGGTAGCCGAGAGCAACTTTTGGAGCCAGAAACAAAGATAAAAGCACAGTGCTGAGAGCTATATGGAATTTAAAATCACAAAAGTCTGCTACGCCCAGAACCGGTCTGTAGGCAGGTCCATGTTGTGTGGAGAACTGTCCAGTCCCTTGGTTGAATAGGTACCATGTGGAATTCAACCAGTATGCTGGTCAGTATTTAAGTTGGGGAGTGCTGTTGATCTTATCACCAGTTTTCCTCTTTTCCCTAGGGTACAAACATTGCTGCTGGGAAAGCTATGGGAGTCGTGGTGGCAACTGGAGTTAATACTGAAATCGGCAAGATCCGGGATGAAATGGTTGCAACAGAACAGGAGAGAACACCCCTACAGCAGAAGTTAGATGAGTTTGGGGAGCAGCTTTCCAAAGTTATCTCCCTCATTTGCATTGCAGTATGGATCATAAACATTGGACATTTCAATGACCCAGTTCATGGGGGCTCTTGGATCAGAGGTGCCATCTACTACTTTAAGATTGCAGTGGCCCTGGCTGTTGCTGCCATCCCCGAGGGTCTACCTGCTGTCATTACCACCTGCTTGGCTCTTGGAACTCGAAGGATGGCAAAGAAAAATGCTATTGTTCGAAGTCTGCCTTCTGTGGAGACCCTTGGTTGTACTTCTGTTATCTGCTCAGACAAAACAGGCACACTTACCACAAACCAGATGTCAGTCTGCAGGGTAAGTAATGAGTGTCCTTTGTGGTTCTTGGGTGCTTCTAGGCTTCTTTTTAGATTATGTGTTAATGCCATCAACCTTTGGTTAATAATTTGCTTTTCAGGGTTTTGTGAGGACTCAGCCAAGTCTCTTAGTACCTGAGAGTAATTAATCATTTAGTCACCGTACTGGGCCTGCCTGGCTAGAGGGTTCAATAGCTAAAAGCACTTGCTGCCAAGCCTACTGACCTGAGTTCAATTTGTGGGTGATCTCAATTTGGTGGAAGGAGAGAACTGACTCCTAAAAGTTAACCTCTGACTTCTGCGTGCACTCCTGAAACACAAAAAACACGTATAAAAAAATTAATAATTCCCAACTGTCTTGGGAAATATAGAATAGCTATATTAAAGAAATAACTGGGGTGGGAAAGATGGCTTAAGTGGTTAAGAGTGGTTAAGAGCACTGTCTGCTTTTCCAAAGGACCTGGGTTCAATTCCCAGCACCCACATGGCCGCTTACAACTGTAATGCCAATTCCAAGGGATCTGACACCTTCACAGTAAAGCACATAAAATAAAATAAAATTATTTTTAAAAAACAAATAACTGGAGGCTTGATTCTCTGTCTCTAGATGTATGTGTTCCAGAGGAAACTATTTAACCGCCTGCTGAAGTCAATTGCTATTTCCATAACATGCTAAACAAAACACCATTTCTCCCTAAAAAGCAAATGCTTGTAATATAACTTGGCATATTGTTATGTTAGCCCTGCCTTTCTTACCTTGTTAGACCATCATTTGAAGTAAGAAAACAAACAAAACCTTTAAATGTGTCCTAGGACAGTAAGCACTGAAACTAGGCACAGTAACCCACAATGGAAATCACAGCTCCTGCAGGTAGAGGCAGCAAGAGCAAAACGTCAAAGATCCTTGGCTACAAATTGATTTTGAGGCCAGCATGGGCTAAATGAGACACTGTTGTATTTAAAGAAGAAAGCAAAAGAATTGAGAAGCTGGGTGTGGTGGCATATGCCTACTTGAGGCTGAAACAATAAGTGATTGTGAGGGACAAATTTTCAATAAAATGTGAAGTGAGAATTTTCTTACAGAAAAGGTTGATTATGGTTATTAACCCAGGCTTCACTGTTTAACTTAGTAATTGTGTGATCTTGAGTGAGCCTGTTTCTCCTGTGATTCTCTATAAAATGATCATACCTCCATGTGGTGGCACACACGTTTAATTCCAGCACTAGCGAGGCAGAGGCAAGCAGATTGTGAGTTTGAGGCCAGCTACATAATGAGACCCTATGTGGGGAGCACGGGAGAGAGAGAAAAAAAAAAAAAAAGAAAGAAAGCTTGTTCTACATTGACAGAAACTGTTCTGGTAGGCCCTGGAGAGTGTTTGACTCTGAAATGTCTCTTCTTGATCTTTTCTGCCTGGCTCTCAGCTGCTTGATGTAAGTTCTGAGCATTTAAAAAATTAAGTGTGGCCTTTATCCTGGCCTTTTGTTGACTTCTGAATCCCTGTATCTTTATTTGGGTTATCTTATACTATATCACTGTTTAGACAGTTTGGTTGAAGGTTGTCTGAGCACTTGAGTAAGAAGCATTGCTGTTAGGCTAAGCCTCGGGGAACATCCTGTAGACTTCCTTTTTTTGTCTATTGTTTTTTTTTATTTTTTTTTTTAATTTAAGGTTCTTTGAGACAGGGTTTCTATTCGTAGCCTTGGCTGTCCTGGACTTATAGACTAGGCTGGCCTGGAACTCGCAGAGATCTATCTGCCCCTGCATCCCAAGTGCTAGAATTTTGTTTTTTGAGACAGGATTTAGCTGTCCTGAAACTTTGTAGAACAGACTAACTTCGAACTCCCAGATCCACCTGCCCCTGCCTCTGCCTCCTGAATGCTGGCCTTAAAAGCATGCACCACCATCACCTGGCTCAAACTGCCTTCTTAAATAACAGGGCTTTCCACTGTAGACAAGGAATTATTGTGTGTATCTTTTAAGGACTTTTATTCTGTATTTCCTTATAGATGTTCATTTTGGACAAAGTTGAAGGTGATTCTTGTTCCCTTAATGAGTTTACCATAACTGGATCAACATATGCACCTATTGGAGAAGTGTGAGTAACCTTCATCATCTGTGTCATTGTGGTGATTGCTTATTTAGATCTGTCATAAGGGGTGGATGGAGAAGATCTTGATGTTGGAAGCACTGTGGCGTAGGGATAAAGCTAAGGTATGCCCTGCTTGATCTCCAAATACACTGAATAAACTAACTGTAGGGTGTTGTGGTGGACATTGTGGCAGGTCAGGAGATCACAGCCAGACTGGCCTACACGAGAATGTGTCTCAAAAGGGTGTGTACTCATACACACACACACACACATACACACAAGTATAGCTAGATGGCTGACAGTGGCTCGTTTTAATGATTTTTGTTAGCAGAATACCTTTTGAAGGCAAGATTTTCTGGTGAATCTGTTCTAATTTGTTCTCCCCAAACTCATTTTTTTCACTGCTGGGACCTGTGTCAGTGTTGTTGCATGCTTGCGGACGTTCAGGGACGCCCTGGGATGTGAAGTGAGAGGTCAAAGAAGCACTTTCCCTGTAGGTGCGACAACAGGAGTTCCATGTCAGGAACTTAGAGGAGAGAACCTGCCACGCTTTGTCTTCTGACCTCCTCACACACGTGCTGCACTGTGGCATACAGCCACAGCCCCGTGGGTTGTTTATCTTAAGTTGAGGCAAACTGTGATCCAGAAATGTTTTCTCTTTTGATAGGCATAAAGATGACAAGCCAGTGAAATGCCATCAGTATGACGGGCTTGTAGAGTTAGCAACAATCTGTGCTCTGTGTAATGACTCCGCTTTGGATTATAATGAGGTAAGACTCCTCATAAATGAGAAAGAGGCCATCCCTGGTTCAAGGGTAGGGTGAGTGGAATTTTAAAAAGCCATCTTCCTCCCTTTGAAAAACAAGTTTCTGGTTTTATTTCCCATTTCTCTTCAGTATGGCCTGGCTGGAGAAAGCCTTTCACAGCTCTGAGGCTGGCCACTGCAGTTGTTTCACTGAGATAAATAGTGTGGTGGTGTTCTGGCCACTGATGCACCCTTGCTTTAAAGGAGCAAAGCTCAGGTTTCAAGTCTTTCTGAGAGTCAGGGTGAGGATTAGACTTCTAAACATGGATTGCTATGTGTTCTCAAGGACAGTCTGAACCTTATAGGGTTGTTTTGCTGTTGGTGGTAAAGAATAATAACCAAGAGCAACTTTTTCCAAGTTAAATAGTGGGGTTAATTATTTGCTTTCTTTCTCAAAGCCTAGGCTTTTTCTTTCAGAGAATGCTAAAGTATAAGAATAATAAACAAATGACCTGGAATGAACAAATACCTCAGATGAGAAAACACATTAATAACTCATGGTACTGTCCCATGGTTGTACCTTAGTGTCTTTTCTCGTGTGGATGGGAGGACAACTGTCTTACTGACCTGGACTTGTTTCTACAATGCAGGCAAAGGGTGTGTATGAGAAAGTTGGAGAAGCTACAGAGACTGCTCTCACTTGCCTGGTAGAGAAGATGAATGTATTTGATACCGAACTGAAGGGACTTTCTAAAATAGAACGTGCAAATGCCTGCAATTCGGTCAGTATTTGAACTTGGTGTCTTGTGTCTCAGCATACCATACACATTCACTCTTTGTTCCCTGCCTCCTCAGCCTCTGAACTGCTTGAGTATACCTTTGCTCTTCAGTATTTTTTTTCCTGAAAATCAACAGTCAGGTAAAGTGATCTCTCCTACTGGTTCTTCAGCAGCATAGAGAAAGTAATTGTATGCTTCTTAAATTGTCCTTTGCCCTAATTTTCATTTGACACCTCATTTGTTTAACTCAATGAACTGTTGTGTTCTTTTTAACTCCTGTTTTTTCAAATACATTCTAGTCAAGCTTTTGCCTCCACCAACCCAAAATTTTGTTTGAATTACTTGTAACTTTGTGCTAACTTGAATTGTTAATTTTTAAATGTAACAGACTAGACAAGTCAGCAATTAGAGATGTGGATTTTGAACCTGGAGAGAGTTCCCTACTTAAGAGCACAGGCTGCTCTTTTAGATTTGATTCTCAACACCCACTTGCCAGCAAAAACTATTCGTATTTCCTGTTCTGAAGGGTCAGGATCTTGTGGCCTCCATGTACCTGGAACACATGAGGTGCACAAACATACACAGAGATAAAACACCAATCCATACACAAAAAATTTAAATAGGGAGAGGCTACTGGAGATAGCTTAGAGGTCCTGAGTCCAATTCCCAGCAACCACATGGTAGCTCATAACCATCTATAATGAGATCTGGTGCCCTCTTCTGGCATGCAGGCATAATACTGTGGGGAGGGGTTGGGACTGGAGATTTGGCTCAGTGGTTAAGAGCACTGGTTGTTGTTTCAGAGGACCTGGGTTCAGATCCCAGCACCCACATGGCAGCTGACAACTGTCAGTAACTCCAGTTCCAGGGATCCAGCACCTTACAAAGACATGCAGGCAGGCAAAACACAAACACACATAAAATAAAAATAAGTATATATTTTTTAATGGGAGGCTTGTGCTGGAGAGATGGCTCAGTGGTCAAGAGAGGAACTGGCATGAAGTTAATTCCCAGCACCCATGTGGCAGCCCACAACTGTGACTCCAGTTCCAGGGATCTGACACTTTAACTCATGCATCCATACAGGCAAAATACCAATGCGTGTAAAATAAAAATTTAAAAATCATGTTAGAAAATGAAAAAAAAAAAGTGGATTTTAACATATCCCAGAAATCAATCTAATGACTGCTCAGATGGGAAATCAGTAATGATTCAAAACATTTGAACAATAATCACCAAAACTATATTTGTTAACTACTTCTTAAGATATTCTTGTGTGTGTGTGTGTGTGTGTGTGTTTGTGTTTGTTTTATTTTGTTCTGTTTCAGTTTTGTTTTGTTGTTTTTCAAGACATCTTTTTCTGTGTAGCCCAGACTCTCCTGGAATTTGTTTTGTAGACCAGGCTGGTACAAACTCAGAATCCTGTCTGATTCTACCTCCTAAATCATGGGATTAAAGGTGTACACCATCACACCCAGCCTTTTCTCTTTTTTTTTTTTTTACTTGGGGGGAAGGGGCTTTATCATTTTTAAATGCATGCAGATCATTAAGGAATAGAAAACATGGGGCTAGAGAGATTGCTCATAGGTTAAAAGCACTGCCTGCTCTTCCAGAGGTACTGAGTTCAATTCCCAGCAACCACATGGTAGCTCACAACCATCTATAATGAAAATTGGTGTCCTCTTCTGGTGTTTAGGAGTACATGCAGGCAGAACATTGCATACATAATAAATAAGTAAATCTTACAAAAAAAAAATAGAAAACACTGCTGGTCCATGACGCAGGGCTCAATAAGTTAATTACAAAGGCTTAAAATAAGGCAGACTACAAAAAAAACCTTTCACCTAATCTGGATGAGATTAAAGTGGGCATTGATAATATCAAGTCCTCTAAGTATTTATTTAGAATGTTTAATTCATGGATAGAAAAAAAACAGCATACCAATTGTGGTCAGCTTAGCTTGTCAGCAAGATACAACCAACAAACACTTGAGAAAGGAAATGGGATGTCAGTGAGGAATTTTCTAGATTAGATTGGCATTTAGGGGATTCTCTTGAATTAACTGAAATGAAAACACCATCCCTCAGCAAAGAATAATGAACTGTCCTATTGAAAGGAGGACTAAGAACTAGTCTGTATGGTTAATTCTCTGCTTTTAACTGTGGCTATAACGTATGTAATTCTCTCAAGTTCCTGATTTTCTGGCCAGATTGGCTGTGACTTGGAACAGATAAACTTCCTCCTATGTTGACATTGTCAGGGTATTTCATTGCCAGCCAGCAAAGGAATTGAGATACATATAACCACAGTGTTCAGAGGCTCTTGAGTTCAAGGAAAGCCTAACCTGGGCTATGTATTTATCAAGACGCCATCTCAGAAAGGTAATAACAAAGTTAGAAATCAGTGCTGCAAGCTTCTATTTGAAGAAAGAATTTCAAAAATAGAGAAATAAGCTAGAAGTAAAACTCAGTGTGTTTAAGGATGTACAATATCCCAAAGCAGTTTGATCTATCAGTAAATTCAACTGCTAAAAGAAGCTGACAGATCTTATAATAACTCAGCTTTCTATAAAGTATTTCCTTAAAACATAAGTTCTCAAACAAACTGATCTACATAATCTGAGTGCCAAAGGTCAGTCAGTGTGGTAGCTGAAGATGATGCAGGAAGCATCCATAAATATTTTATCTGCGCTTTAGCCTTGAGTAGAGCCATAAACCAGCATCAGCATGGGCAGCCCTAGCATAGCTGTCCAGGTACCACTGTTTGTTGTGCACCCACAGACCATCATAGTAGAGCTGTGTTTCTACGCTTTTCCTTGGCTTGCTGTGGCCACATAAGACCAGCCAGTCTGAAGTTTGAATAAAACAATTTTTGTGGCTACTAGCAGACACTGGCCATTTAGTCATTCTTTAGTACCACGGTCTCTATAGACAGATCACTTCTGCCCATCGCTTTGCTTGGCATAGCTCAGTGGCAGTGTGCTTGCCTAGCGTGCACAAGGCCTGCCTTAGTTCAATCCCCAGAACCAGAGTAAAAGAAAACATAAACAGTCAAAATAACATACCCTTTTATCCTGCTCAGGTCAGGTTGTTTACTTGAATGAGAAATGGTGTAGAGATAAGGTACAGTAGAGTCAGTGTGTCAGTGAGAGGCCAAAAAACACGTTAAGGGAACATCAGTTACTACTGTGCTCCCTCATTGAAGTTATGTGTCACTGAGCTCTCAGGGTTGGCCAGGGTGTCTTCCATCTCTCCTGACCTACCAGGATGTAGATAACCATTCCTAGTCTCTGGTCATTTTTGTCTCTAGTTACTCATACTGTCTCTGGCCATATAATATTAAATACTTTGAATGTTGTGAGTGTGGTAGGGTTCCTCCTAAGCTATTTAAAATGCTTCAGAATTTACTTACTTGCTGCAGCCACAGCAGACATTTAGTAAACCTCACTGGCAGAACAGTGTGACTTCAAGGTTTTGGAGAGCCAATTCTGGAACCCACGCCCAGTGCCATTGGCCTGGTGAGCTAACCACCACTGTATGAAATGGTGTTCCATGTCTCCCTTTATGAGGTTGTTTTCGAATGGATTATCAAGGCAACCCTTGAACTTGGTATCCTCCTGCCTTAGTCTTCCGGTTACTAGGATTATAAGCATGTAGCACCACACTGACCCTTTAGACAGCTCTTAATAGCCAGTGTTTAAAGCCCTCCAAGTGTCTTTCTACACACACACTCGTGACCTTCAGTATATCTTAGTTGTACATTCTGATCTGTTCCCAAACTAGAGGACACTTTTTGAGAGTACGGACTTGGTGTCCTGTTCACTACTGTTTAGGCTGTCATACTCCCTAAAGACCAACATGATCAAGATAGATGAACAGGGGCAGGATCTGTCGTATAATGAGTGTCTAATGAGTATCTGTCTAGAAATAGTAATTCAACAGTGTTCTTGTCTGACCTTCTACAGGTCATTAAACAGCTGATGAAGAAGGAATTTACTCTAGAGTTTTCACGCGATAGAAAATCAATGTCTGTCTATTGTACACCAAACAAACCGAGCCGGACATCCATGAGCAAGATGTTTGTGAAGGCAAGTACTGCACAGACGGAGGCTTTCTTACAGGTAAACAGGCAGGTACAATTGCTGATCTGAGTCTCACATTTTCAGGGTGCTCCTGAAGGTGTCATCGACAGATGCACCCATATCCGAGTTGGAAGTACCAAGGTCCCCATGACTCCTGGTGTCAAACAGAAGATTATGTCTGTCATTCGGGAGTGGGGCAGTGGCAGCGACACACTGCGCTGCCTGGCCTTGGCTACTCATGACAACCCGCTAAGGAGAGAAGAGATGCACCTGGAAGACTCTGCCAACTTCATCAAATATGAGGTATCTCACTGGCACAGTCACTGCTGCCAGAGGACAAGCAGATGTCCTGGCGAGGCCACAGGAGTAACCCTTACTTGGATTGATGCTTCAAATAGAAATAGTTGAGAATTTGATAAATCTCCTTTCAATGTAGACTAATCGAGACAAGTTCAGATAAGCTTGTAAAGCCTAATGTGAACTAAGTATTTAATGGAATTTTAAAAATATTTATTAGATATTGCTAAAATATATATAAGCTCGGAGATTCGTTTCCATCTCTTCCTTAGACCAGGATTTTTCTGTCAGGGTTGTACTATACTAAACAGAAGGAACAGCTCCTGAGACTGCCAGGCTTAGAGTGCTCTTATTCCTCAGTATGGCGTCCCCCACACCCCCCCAGTGGATAAGTTTACTACAGAATGCAAGAATTTAGACCAGAATGATTTGGTGAGGAGGGTATACTCTCTTAAATACAATTGAGTGAGGGTGTTGCTCAGTGGTAGAATACTGAATAAAACCCTGTGTTCATGATGATAAAGGCCAGAAGTAGAGATGTGTAAGCAGCAGGCTGAGGCCAGAGGACTGCTACAGGTTTCTCAAGTATATATAGTGAGACACTGTTTCAGCTGCTGGCAAAGGAAAGTGTCAAACTTGGAGTTATAGCAGGAGCGGCCAGGACTGTTTCTGTGGGGTAAGCTGATTGAACTCAGTGACTCTTTTACTTTAGACCAATCTGACTTTCGTTGGCTGTGTGGGCATGCTGGATCCTCCCAGGATCGAAGTGGCCTCTTCAGTGAAGCTGTGCCGGCAAGCAGGCATCCGAGTCATCATGATCACTGGGGACAACAAAGGGACTGCTGTGGCCATCTGTCGCCGCATTGGCATCTTTGGGCAGGATGAGGATGTGACATCAAAGGCTTTTACAGGGCGGGAGTTTGATGAACTAAGCCCCTCAGCCCAGAGAGATGCCTGTTTAAATGCCCGGTGTTTTGCTCGAGTTGAACCTTCTCACAAGTCTAAGATCGTTGAGTTCCTTCAGTCTTTTGATGAGATCACAGCTATGGTAAGGTTTTAGACATGAGCAGTGATGTTCATGTCCATCTAGGCATGGTGATGTGTGCCTGTAATCCTGGAGTTTAGGCTGAGGCAAGCCTGGGCTACCTAGTTTCTGAAAACAAAAAGAGGGTTTGAGACACACACACACACACACACACACACACACACACACACACACATTGACTATTTGAGTATGTGTCTGAAGTGTGTAAATGACCGTAAATTATGTGGCCACACTACAAATAGCTTTCAGGTGTTGGGTGTTGGCAGAAGACAATATAAAACAGATGTCCAGTCCCCTTGACTCTGCCTTTCTGAGTCTTTTTGTAAGCTCATTTGGCTGCTTGTCCATTTTCCGGGTAAAGTGTTTGATACCTGCTGCTGTTCTGTGGCATTTCCTTCTCATCAGTCTGCCTCGACCCAGAGGTGTGCCATGTGGGTGATGTGAGAGTCAACTGTGGCTTCCCTTTCAGACAGGTGATGGTGTGAATGATGCCCCTGCTCTGAAGAAATCTGAAATCGGAATTGCCATGGGCTCAGGTACCGCAGTGGCCAAGACTGCCTCTGAGATGGTCCTGGCAGATGACAACTTCTCCACCATTGTGGCTGCTGTGGAGGAGGGCCGAGCTATCTACAACAACATGAAGCAGTTCATCCGCTACCTCATTTCATCCAATGTTGGGGAAGTGGTCTGGTGGGTGTCTGACTAGGGCTGTATTGTATCTTTCAAGGCTGGGGCCAGGGTGTTGGACTTTCTCAGTTTACTGCTTCTGTTGTGGCTTCTTTGGTTGTTAGCCGGAATGGGGAGAGGTCTAATGGGGCTTGTCTATAGCTGCCCAGTGTGCAGAGAATATTCCTTAACACAGGAATTAGTTTACCTAAGTAGTTTAAAGTCACAAAAGTCTTGGTCCTCCAATAGTTTCATACGAAGTTTGATGGGTTAGATGTTTGATGCTCATGGCTTAGAAGAGGCTTCCATAATTCCAAAAATCACTTGAGTTTTTTTTTCTCTTCTTCCCTTGAACATAAACAGTATCTTCCTGACGGCAGCCCTTGGGTTTCCTGAGGCTTTAATTCCTGTCCAGCTACTCTGGGTCAATCTGGTGACAGATGGTCTGCCCGCCACTGCACTGGGGTTCAATCCTCCGGACCTGGATATCATGAACAAGCCTCCCCGGAACCCAAAAGAGCCACTGATTAGCGGATGGCTCTTTTTCCGTTACCTGGCTATTGGCTGTGAGTACAGTTGCTTGTTGTTTCGGTTGAGAATATGCCCTCTTCGGTGCAGTTTACTCAAAGCCCCTGTTGAGCATCCTGTCCTTCCTTGGGTTATGGGGAAGCAGCAGTTAGACACTGGACTTTTCATATTTTTCTCTTGTACAAAGGAATACAAATATCAACACAGACCAGGGCTCCAGGCTGAGACTTGAATGGGTGATTACCACCAAGGGAACAAGTAGAGTCCCATTAGCAGAGGCTAGTTGTGTATTCTCTGTCAGATAGGGAATTGATGCCCAGAGAGGTGAAACCACTGTCCTGGGACCTTTTGGAGAAAAAAAGATTTGGCTTTTGCAAGAAAGTTCCCCCTCCCTGTCTGTGTGAGCTCCCTGTCTTTGGCTTTTAATGATTGCTCTGGTGCACCATTGTAATTCCAGGTTAGTTGTGTGCTCTGCAGTTGAGTAACTGACCACAGGGGTTGAACCAGTCTCACCTTTGTAATAGAGTTCCTGGATTATAGTTGATGAGGAATAGCCTCTCCTTAGACCTGACTGTGCTGCTATGGGCTGGGTGCGAACACTGTAATTGGCAGTTCTTTTAGAAGGCAGTTCTACTAAGCTATCAATGAAACAAAGCAACTACATAGAATTTACTCATACAATAAACTTTGGTGTGACCTGGTTCCCTCAACACTGTTCTATCTGGGAGTATACCTGTCATCTTGAAAGCATGCCTGTGCTTGCTCTTTAGCTCTGGCACATTGTGCAGGGTCTGGGTCAGGTTAAGCAGGAACTTTTCCTCACAAACTCCAAAGAGATGGCCTGGCTCCCTTTTAGGCCAGAAATACCCTGTCTGTGGTCAGCTGCTCTGGCCTGTGTGTTAATCTGCAATTCACAGTGCTGCCCCCAGCTGAAAGTGTGTCAGCAACAACATGTTTGTTTCCAGGTTACGTTGGTGCTGCAACCGTGGGTGCTGCTGCATGGTGGTTCATCGCTGCCGATGGTGGTCCTAGAGTATCCTTCTACCAACTGGTATTTAGCCACTTTTTTTCCCCCTCTGTATAATAGAGTGAATTCTTTTGAGTCCTTTGTCTTTAGGTAGTTTGGGATCGTCTTAGGGTTCAGACAGTAAACAGTTGCTTCAGGTGGCTCTGGGACCCACGGCTTCTGCTGGGCTGTATTCATGTTGGTGCTGGGGCCTGACTTGGTATGGAATTGGTGTCTAGATTTGAGGAGTATTCCTGCCTGATGGAATGTGTTTTTGTTGCAGAGTCATTTCCTACAGTGTAAAGAGGACAACCCAGACTTTGATGGAGTGGATTGTGCAATCTTTGAATCCCCATACCCAATGACAATGGCACTTTCTGTTCTTGTAACCATAGAGATGTGTAATGCCCTCAACAGGTTAGTGACTCTTGTAGGCTGAGATCTTAGGGTTTGTGAAGGTCATAGCTGGGAGAAGCTCTTCTCTCCCAGAAGAGGACAAACATAGTTTTATTGTTGTCCTCAGAAAGCAGTGGGGGTTGTCACCATCATTGCCATCACGATACGACAGGGTCTGAGAATGGGACCAGCAGTCCAGGCTATGTCTGCAGCGTAGGGAACATATGCCACTGACAAAAGCAGCTGTGAGCGCGCAGAGATGGATCTGCTGCATTGATTACACTTCTCCCCCACTGTGGGAAATCTAGGCCTTTAGAGTTAGGTTAGCAGGAATTGCCAGGGCCACCTCACTAAGCCCCTACCCCCTTTGTATCACTGACATGAGCCTTTGCTTGTGGTAAGGTCAGTTCTCTTCTCACCTGTAGCTTGTCTGAAAACCAGTCCTTGCTGAGGATGCCCCCCTGGGAGAATATCTGGCTTGTGGGCTCTATCTGCTTGTCCATGTCACTTCACTTCTTGATCCTCTACGTTGAACCTTTGCCGGTGAGTTATTGTGGACCCCAGGCTGGGTCTGGTGTGGCTCCTCTCTAGCAGGTCCAGAGGCTTGATGCAGCCTTCTCTGTCTCAGCTCATCTTCCAGATCACACCGCTGAATCTGACCCAGTGGCTGATGGTGCTGAAAATCTCCTTGCCTGTGATCCTCATGGATGAGACACTCAAGTTTGTGGCCCGAAACTACCTGGAACCCGGTAAAGAGTGTGTGCAGCCTGCCACCAAATCCTCCTGCTCGCTGTCGGCATGCACCGATGGCATTTCCTGGCCGTTTGTGCTGCTCATTATGCCCCTGGTGGTCTGGGTCTACAGCACAGACACTAACTTTAGCGATATGTTCTGGTCTTGACTGACAGCGCTACATACAGAAGATGTTTAACTTAATCAATTAATTTTTTTATTGTTTAAAGCAACTGTCTATTTCTGCTGAATTTTCACATGAACATATTGGCTGGTGAAGGAGGTTTCATATTCTAGATTTTGTTTTGCTTTTTCTGACTCCAGTGGGACAAGATTTTCATTTTTTTATACACATAATTAAAGTGTCCATTGACATGTACAGAGAACTAACACTATTTTATGCAGATATTTTTTTGTAGATGAAAAAGCATGTACAGTGTTCTGTTTAATACTCATACTTGTACAAAGATAGTTGAGCCAGCAGACATTGTCAGCAAATTAATTGGCAGCAGACTTTAGGAAATGAATGTGTGTGGTTTTTAAAAGGAGAAAAAAAAAAAAAAACTAAATAGCATGTATTGTGTCTTTTGCATGATTCTCTGGATTTAATTTGGTATCACAGTCTAATTTTTATTCATAAGCCAATTTTTCTGCACTGAGCAGAGTCCTGCTACCTCAGTCAGTATTTTTGGTTTGCCACTTCCTGCACCCTCAGCCTCTGTCACCCCCCAGCCCACCCCGCTCGGCTTCTTCTGTAGGTCTGATGGTTCTGTTTACATCCGTCTTCACAAGAGGTTTGCCTGTTCTCGCTTGTGCAGAAAACATTGCTCCAGATTCAATCGACTGGGTTTCTGTCCCTCGCCTAGTTTTTAAGGTTATTTATTTAAATGTCTAATGTATTTTATTGTAACAGACATTGTTTTGCCAACATTGCCTCTTCAGTGGCACTTCACAATCTAGTTTAAAAGAAAAATAAAACATTTTAAATGGACAGAGGAAAATAACTGTCTTGTTCTTAATGGCCTTGAACTACTATAATCAGTTCAAATCTCTCTGAGGTTCTCAGCTTAGAGCCTTAGTTTCCTGTTCATGAGGGGAAGGATCCTGTTCTGCTGCGTAGTAGGGTTTTATAATGTATAGGCACGATCTGTCATGTGTGATACACATTTATGCAAATTTCTGCTGGCCTGTTGTCTGTACCTTGGTGTAAGGGCAAGTGTGTGTCTGTGTGTGTGTGTGTGTTTTGTACAATCTGTAAATAGCACATGACCAAATGAACATATTGTATAGAACTATTTTTATTTGAATGTGACACTAACCACCACCACCATGACTCTGATGAACGTTTGCGCATGTTCAAGGTCAGTCTTAACGGCAGTGTGAGTCATTAACAGTCCTAACTGTGGTGTTTTCCTCCAATGCCTTCCAACATCCATCAACTAACGTGAGTATCTTCCCTGTGGGTTTGGGGTGCTGTGGCCTGTGTACAGGGGATGCCACTGAATGAGATGGCCCCTGTTGCTAGTGGGCTGCATGGCTCCTGTACCCACCAGGCAGCCACTACCTAAGGAAACAGGGATGTCAGCTGCTCACTACACAGGTGGCCCCAGTGTAAACACTGACCAGGACAGTTGTGAATTGTAGGGAGGAGGCCCTTGTGACCTGTGAAACCTCTTATTTCCAAACTGAGACCTTATGCAAACATGTCACAAAGGTTGGATTTTTCCTGGCTGAAAAAAGGTGCTGACCCTGCGTAGGCAATTTTTATCACCTTTGTAGGACATGTTTTAGAATGAGTGTCTAGAGTGTGGCCATTAAGACAACCCTCTGGTGTGCAGAGGCCTTGGGGCTGTTAGTACCCTAAGTTGCAGGTGGTAGGCAGGAGAAAGTACCAGGTTCTGAGGGAAACTAGCAACTGACCCTTGATTTCGAGTCCTCCAGGTACTGCAGGGAGCAGTGATTCTCAGGAAGCAGGCAGGGTTGTGTTTTTTTTTATGTCATTTGCCATTTTTTGATGTCATAGTATTATCCACAAAGACCACTGCCAAAAGCATTGTCCCAGCCATGGGTCCCCTTCTGCATGTATCAAGCCCTATCCTCACCCAGTACCCTCAAGAAGGGACAACAGTACATGGATGGACAGTGTCGTCCTCAACTAGAGCACTCTAGCCTGGAACTCAGCCTTAAGGTTTTCCTGAGTGGCCTCTTCAGTGCAGCCCAGATCAATGGGTGATGTTTTCCCCAAAGAGCTAGGGGTGCTACCAAGGCCAGGCAAGGCTAGCCACTTCAGAGCAACTGCTACCACAGCACCCTCAAGCTAGGATCTCAGCCCCAACAATGGCACAGAGGCCTCAGGAACATCCGAGACAGCACTTGCTTGATGCCTGCTTAATGGCCCATAAGCCATTAAGACCAGCTCCTGCAGTTAGGAAGCCTTTGAAGCAGAGCTGAGCCTGCAGCCTGGAACTGGCTGCCATGGAGAACAAGGAGGGAGCAGGGAGGCCTTTTCTCCCCCTGGTGCCATGCCACTCACTCTGCTCCACCTGCCTCACCCTCTGCATGGCTACCGAGATCTCCCGCTCTCACAGCCCTCATACCTGACATGCCTTCTAGTTTCTGCCTTTTGGAGCTTTGTTAGGAGCTGGTGGTAGGAGGCGGCACAGGGCAGTCACCAAGCCACTGCTTCTAGATGAGTGGTCTAGGACACCTAGACAGAAATGCTGGTCTTGCATCTAGCCCGAATGCAGTGTTCTATCCATCTGTCCCTGTTGGTTTGTCTTGGAAAGTTGTTCTAACATTGCTCTATGTTTCAAGAAGCTGATTTCCTCTCTCTTTCCTTTTCAGCAATACTGGAGTAACCGCTTCCTAAACCATTTGCAGAAATGTAAGGGTGTTCGGGTGCGTGCATGTGCGTTGTTAGCAACACATCTACCAGCCCTCTGCATGACTGATGTTGGGGAAAAGAAAAATAGAAACGGTCCCTAAGTCACTATGTGATGTGGAGGAAATGTGTATTACCAGTGGGGTTTTAGCTGTTCAGTCAAAATAATGATAACAAATGTACAATTTAGCATAATGTATCAGCCTCTCCAGAGAAGTTTGGTTTCTTTGCTGCAAGAAAAATGAGGTTCTGAAACCCAAGAACAGAAGCCATCAGCCAAGTCTCCACATTTCTCTGCAAAATTTGTCATAGCCTCTATAACTGTATGATAACTGTAATGCATGCCTTCAGTTGTAAGTATCCAGATTGCTCTACAGTGACATTGAAACATGCTTTCTAATTGGCCCTGTACAGTTTGCTTATTTATAAATTCATTTAAAACACTACAGCTGTTGAATGGTTACAACATAGGCCTCTGGTCCTAACTTCAGTTGTTTTTTGGGTGTGCAGCCAGCTGTTTCACACTGTATTCATGTAACTTATTTAATGAAGTCAGAAGCAGTAGACAGATGTTGGTGCAATACAAGTATTGTGTGCATTTATTGTAATAAAGTGCTCAGCATCGGTTTCTCACAGCTTCTTACAGTGCATGTTTATGACTGTAGACTGTAAATAGAGGTCATTTTCTCTCTGTGCTGGTAACAGGTATTGCACAGACATGATTTCGGGTAAATAAATCTATTCTACGATAAACCCTCAGTGTAGCGATGGCTGTTTTATAGGAGGGTGAGGATGGGCACTGAGGCCCCCCATTTGGTTATAGGGGTGGGAACAGAGCTGAGTCCCTCAACCAGGATGGAAAACAGTACATGTCACCAATGGGCCTTCAGGAGAAAACAGGCCTGATTGCTCAGAAGTAGAAAGAGAAGATTCCACATGGACCAGCCTGACTGCTCAGGTACAAAGTGACCGTGTTGTCACCTTCTGTTGACAAGTAGACCTGACGGATCCTGACTTATTTCAACTGCAATCTGGCCAGAGACGGGCTTGGAGTGAGGCTCTACATTCCTTAAAGTGGTCTTTACTCCTCTGAGGCCTGGCAGCTCCTCTAATACAGAACCCCTTGGCAACAGTAACACCCAGGGCCAGCAAGATGACTCAGCAGGTAAAGTGTTCGCCATATAAGCCTGGAAACCTGAGTTTGATTCCTAGAACCCATGATAGAAAGAACCAACTCCATCCACAAAGTTGTCTTCTGACCTCCACGTTGCCTGCATTCAGAATAAAAAAACTCATAATTAACACTTCTGAATTACAAGACCACTGCCAGACTCGGAGAGAATTCACAGAATGTACAAAAAGATAGATGGTCTCACCATGCAGACCAGGCTGGCCTGGAGCTCCACCTGTCTCTTCCAAGTGCTGGGTGGTGTGCATCAGGGCTGCCTAGCACAGACACCGTGTTCTTAGGAACATTTAGTAACTTCAAAGACTAGATGTGAAGATAAATGGTTTTAATCTTGGCTTCTGACGTGGACAGGAGGAAGCGCGCCAGGCACTGAGGGCCACGAGCTCTGGTTGGCAGGAAGAGGCACGCTTGGCCCTTAGGCCTAGACAGTGCAAATGAATTGGGTTTTAAGGCCCAAACGACATTCCTGAGACAATGCTCCCGTGAGCAACAATGTTCCACGTTACCTGTGTACTTTTTTTCCTTTCCCCCTGTGTAGCTATGGCTGTCCTGGACTCTGTAGACCAGGGTGGCCTCAAACTGACTGTCTGCCTCCCAAGTGTTGGGATTACAGGCGGGCCACTGCACCTGGCAGCTGTGTACTTTGACAGCTAGTGGGAGAACAAATAGTTGTCAATTTGGAAGCTCAAAGCCCCTCATGACCCCCACCCCCAGGTAAGCTGCACAGAAAGCTACAATACAATTGGCAGGTGCACAGCTGCAGGGTGCTTGAAGCATACAAGTCAGAATGAGTCAGAAATCATGGTCAACCCAGACCTGCTGTCCAGAGCACTAGGGCCTCAACAGTGTGTGTGCACTAGGCGAGGCCTCGCCACCGTGAGGTTTTCTAAATACAAGGAGGAATCTTGGCCTGACCTGGAACCCTGAGAGACTGACCCCATAAAGACAAAATCTGTACACTTCGTTCTAGCCTAAAGGCAGAAGTGATGAGAATCTCTTAACACTGCCTAGCAGAGTCAAAACATTCCTCATACACTAAACAAAACCAGTCTCCATGCAGGAATTACAGGGATGTGCAACATTGACTAATCTTTTGGGATTGCTTATCCCTAAATCTCCGCGCCCCCCCCCCCCTTTTTTTTTAAGTTCCATACTGTGACTCAGGTTGGCTTGCAGGTCCAGGCTGACCTCAAACTCACTGGCTGGACCTGGGTTGAATTCCCAACAGTGGCTCACCAGTTCCAGGTGACCCAGCGCCCTCTTCTGGGCTCTGCATGTGCATGGGGCACAGTCGTACATGAAGGCAAAACACATAAGTTTGAGGTTTTTCCAGACAGGGTTTCTCTGTGTAGCCCTGGCTGTCCTGGAACTCATTCTGTAGACCAGGCTGGACTCGGACACAGAGATCTGCCTGCCTCTGCCTCCTGAGTGCTAGGACTAAAGACATGCACCACCACATGGCCTTTCTACATTTTTTTTTAAAGGAAACAAAAATAAATTTCTGCCTCAATTATTGTAAACAGAGGACTCCAGAATGCAGGAGGCAAGTTACAATGGCAGCAGAGGGAGTGGGGGGTGTTAGAACCAAGTCATGAGTTGAGTGGGCATAGATAATTCTGGGTTCCAGCTACAGGGAGGGCAGGATGAACATCTGCAGCTAAGTAGCAGAATGTCCACACAGCAACAGGGATCACGCAGATTCCCACTCAGACTTCCTGAGACCACTTCCCATGGCAGGTCCAAGCAGGGTGTGCCTCGAGTCTGAAGGTAAGCAGCGCTCAGCCCAGCACAGATGGGCACATCAAAGGATACGGGCCAGCCTCACTGTGGAATGCCAAAGCCTGGAGCTAAACTTCAAGTGCAAGATAATCACAAGTTGGCACTAGCATGAACAAAAGGTTAAAAGGGGCAGAGTAAGAGC